CCTGTCATCGCCACTGCCACCATTGCCATTTCCACCGGCACCATTGCAACCATCACCATCCCTGACGTCACCATCCCCACTGCTGCCATTGCCGCCGTCGCCATCCCTGCCATCACAATTGCCACCGTCGCCATCCCTGCCATGGTGATGGCGACGGCAGTGGCAATGGTGATGGCAGGGATGATGATGGGGGGAACGGCGATGGCAGGGATGGCGATGGGGGGAACGGCAGCAGTGGGGATGGTGACGTCAGGGATGGTGATGGTTGCAATGGTGACGGTGGGGATGGCAACGGTGGCAATGGCGACGGTGGTGACGATGATGGTGGCAGGGGTGACGATGGCAGGTGGTGGCGATGGCGGGGATGGTGATGGCGGCAATGGCAGCGGAAGGGAAGGAGTTTTGTTTGGGCACACTGCAATGATGGGAGCTAATGGGAAACAAGAACAGGCCTGGGCTAGGAGGGTTGTCAGTGTCCAATGAGATGTTTGCAGCCCTTGGCAGGTCATGCAGTGGTGTCGTCTGTGTGAGTGTCCGGACTGGTGTGTCAGCATTGTTTTTTATCATGTGATGCTCAGGTGATAGCGTTTTGGGTTTCCCGTGCCGGCTTCAGACTGCAACTTCCCATGTATGCTGGCATGCTGCTGGGCATGGAAGTCGATAGAGAGGTGTCAGAGAGAGGTTTCACTTGGAATTCCTTTCAAGGCACATACTAAGTGCTGCTGGCAGGTTCACAGGTGACAGCCTTGGAGCATTTGTCTTACTCGATGCCATAATCAATCCATGAAATTTAGATTAGCTTTAGTTTCATTCTGGACTCTTTCATAGCTGGAACCTTGACGGACTGCATGCTACAATCCAGGTACGGCATGCAGTGGACCGGTGACACTCAAGAAATCCTGCATACACTTCTTTAATCTTAGATGCCATAGTTCTTCCATTTTGTTGTAAGTACAGATTTACAACGATTACTACTGCGCTTGACATTGAGCATCTAACAGCGACTCACTGCCAACACAAAGCGTTGACTACAGATGTTTATGCCATTAGACCTCATTTAAGTGAGCGAGGACAAGAGCTTGCCACAAGGCTGAAGTTTGAGAAGAGGCTTCTTCTCTGTGAGGGCGCCCTTAGGTCCAGTCTGCTGGGCTCTCTTACTGACGATGGTGACAATGAAATCTTCCAATGTGACTGGGAGGCACAGGAGC